GAGTGAGGCAAGGAGGGAGGAAAGGAAAGGAAAGAAAGAAGAAAGAAAGAAAAAGAAAGAGGAAAGGAAAGAAGAAAGGAAGGGGGAAGGAAGAAAGGAAGGAGGAGGAAGGAAAGAGGGAAAGGAAAAGGAGGGAAGGGGAGAGAGAAGGAAGGAAGAAAGAAGGAGGGAGGGAAGGAAGGAAGGAAGGAAGAAGGAAGGAAGGAAGGAAGGAAGGAAGGAAGGAAGGAAAAAAGAAAAGGAAAGAAAAGGAAGGAAGGAAGGAAAGTAAGAAAGAAAGGAGGGAGGGAGGGAGGGAGGGAAGAAAAGAAGGAAAGAAAAAAGGAAAGAAAGAGTGAGGCAGGGAGGGTGGGAAAGGAAAGAAAGAATAGAAAGAAAGAAAGGGGGAAGGAAGGAAGAAGGGAGGGATGGAAAGAAGGAAGGAAGGAAAAGGAGGGAGGGATGGAGAGAGAAGGAAGAAAAAGGAAGAAAGGAGGGCGGGAGGGAAGGAAGGAAAAGGAAGGAATGAAAGAAAAAAGAAAAGACAGAGTGAAGCAGAGGGAGAGAGGGAAAGAAAGGACAGAAAGAAGTCAGGAGGAAGGAAAAAGGAAGGGAGAAGAAAGGAAAGGAAGAGAAGGAAGGAAGAAGGAAGAAAGAAAGGAGGGGGGAAGGAAAGAAGGAAAGAAGGAGGAAAGAAAGAAGGGGAGGGAAGAAAGAGGGAGGAAGGGAGGAAGGATGAAGAAAGGAAGGAAGGAAGGAAGGAAGGAAGGAAGGAAGGAAGGAAGGAAGGAAGGAAGGAAGGAAGGAAGGAAGGAAGGAAGGAAGGAAGGACAGGGTTTGGGGAAGGTTTTCCTTTTTGACCGCCACTCTCAGAACCCCCCATTGGCAGCAGTCCCAAATAGGTCAAGCCCTATAGAGCCAACGCAACACACAACTGTGAAAACGTGATTAAACTGTCAACAGAACAGAAAGAGACCAAAAACATACACATTATAAAATGTGAACCTGGTTTTTCTCGATGCCCTGCCCATTCCTGGAGGGGACGCCATGGCAAGGAGGGGGGGGGCAGGACCCTTCTCTCCCCGGGCTTCCTCAACCCACGTGCCCCCCCCCCCCCCCCCCCCCCCCCCCCCCCCCCCGCCGAGCCCCTTCCCCAATTCCTGCGTGTGTGCTTTCAAGCCGGCTGCCGAAATCCGCCGGAATCCCCTCCCTGGGAGCCAAAGACCCGAGATTATTTATTTTTATGATTCTCTGCAATATTTAAATCCTGCCCTATATCACCGGATCTCGGAGAGGTATACAGGTAGAAATCCATTTGAACCGTATAAAGCAATGTGAAACAGTAAAAAAATGATTTAAGCAGACAAAAAAGCACATCAAACCGTTGGATGCGTCGGAACAAGATGTAATTCAAGGCCAGTTAAGCCCACTTAAGGCAGCTCAGATAGGCAGGCGGGGAAGGAAGGGGGTCAGGGGTTCTCACCTGGGCAGGGGAGGGGGCTGCCCTCAGGAGACCACCGGCAATGGCCCCTTGCAGTTGGAAGGGGCACCCAAGGGGCCATCCAGCCTGACCCCCTTCTGCCAACACCAAGCCTTCAAAGACCCACAGAGAAGGAAATTCCACTGGATGCCCCAGGCAGTTTATATTCTCCCAGAATTGGAGAGGGGACCCCAAAGGTCACCTAGTCTAACCCCACTTTGTCATTCGGGAAAACGCAATCCAAACCCTTCTGGCAGATGGCCATCAAGCCTCTGAGAAGGGAACTCCATCCAACTATTAAGGCTAGAATCTGTTGCTACTAGGGGTTTACAGCAGACTTTTTCTAAGTCATGGAGGATCAGAATCTTTTCTGTTACACCTGTCACAAGTTAATTAGGTGTGTTATCAGTTCCTGCATACAAGGCACTAGGCTTGCAAGTTTTGAGCTTTACATTTTGGCTTAGCTTGATGGCTCGTTTTGAGATAAAGAAACCTTTGGCTGTTGCTGGGAGTGGTTATGCAGCGTCCTGAGCCATTTGGAGTGCCAGAGAAACTGCTTGTTTATGGCAAGATAACTAAGTAGTGAGACTGTTGTTATGACTCAGCTGGAACCGCAGAGTGATACTGTTAATGAATCTGATGAGAATGATGGGATTCAGGTTCACAGTCAGGTTCAAAATGTCCCTGTGGTAGACAATGAGGAACAGGGTGTGGAAGTCCAGTTTCCAGTTCAGTTTCCCACAGCAAGGGATGATGTTGTTGATACTGAAAGAAGCCAGGTGCAAGTTGACTCAGAAAAGGAGGACAGTTCTCAGCCTGACAATGAGCAAGAAAGCACTAACGAGCAGACTGACTTTGATGAAGTGGGAACCTTAGATCGGGCTGACTGTTTCGAATTCAGAGTTCGAAGGAGTGTGAGAATAGCTAACAAGAGGGAGGTTAGGGGCCAAAGGAACGCCTTCATGTTGTGCAAAGGGTATTTAACAGGGTGCTTGAGAGCAAACCTGTGTCAGAGCAACTTCTCATTTCAACCAAGGGGCTTGCATTTGATTGCCTGGATTATCTTGCAGTTTTCAAGTTCATGGTTTCAGGACTTTGTCATGTTCTCATGGGACTATGCTTTGCTGGTGCCTTCGTGGATCCTGCTTCTAAGTGTTTTCTTGTATTGATCTTTGGAACATTACTTTTGCTTTTAAGAACTTTTTATCTTTTACTTTTTAATAAACTATAAAGACTATACAGGCTGTGTGCAGTTTGGTGTCTTCAGAAAGGTGAATCTATCCTGAAGTGCAACAACTGTATTATTTTGCTATATGTTTGCATATCACCGTGTAAAGAAGACTCACTGGAGATATTGTTTGTTCTATACTAGTGAGAACAAATCTTCTGGGTTGGTGTAGGTTTTTCCGGGCTATATGGCCATGGTTAAGAGGCATTTTCTCCTGACGTTTCGCCTGCATCTATGGCAAGCATCCTCACTACCTCTGAGGATGCTTGCTGTAGACGCAGGCGAAATGTCAGGAGAAAATGCCTCTAGAACATGGCCATATAGCCCGGAAAAACCTACAACAACCCAGTGATTCCGGCCATGAAAGCCTTCGACAATACAACAAGTCTTCTGTTTTGCTTTGTGTTTTTGACCTACAGTGAACAGAACTTTATTTTTGTTTCTACTTAAAGCAACAGACTCATGCGTATTTTTTGAGTTTTTATCACACTGAGAGTAAAAGGGACTGAGACATTCTGCGGTCTACTAACAGTATTCTGGCAGAATCATAAACTCTCAACAAAAGACTGCTCCAGGCACTGCCATGCTATCAAATGCTAATCAAGGTGGTCAGTTGAAACATTCCCACCTAGCTCCAGCAGACAAGAGTCCTTTGTCCCACCCTGGTCATTCCACAGATATATAAACCCTTTTTTCTAATTCCAACAGACCTCACTACCTCTGAGGATGCTTGCCATAGATGCAGGCGAAACGTCAGGAGAGAATGCCTCTAGAACATGGCCATATAGCCCGAAAAAACCTACAACAACCTAATAATCAATAGAAACATTCACACCTAGCTCCAGCAGACCAGAGTCCTTTGTCCCACCCTGGTCATTCCACAGATATATAAACCCTTTTTCCTAGTTCCAACAGACCTCACTACCTCTGAGGATGCTTGCCATAGATGCAGGCGAAACGTCAGGAGAGAATGACTCTAGACCATGGCCATAAGGCCATTATATGCTTAATAAGGTGGTCAGTTGAAACATTCACACCTAGCTCCAGCAGACAAGAGTCCTTTGTCCCACCCTGGTCATTCCACAGATATATAAACCCTTTGTCCTAGTTCCAACAGACCTCACTACCTCTGAGGATGCTTGCCATAGATGCAGGCGAAACGTCAGGAGAATGCCTCTAGAACATGGCCATATAGCTCGAAAAAACCTACAACAACCCAGTAATTCAAGGTGGTCAGTTGAAACATTCACACCTAGCTCCAGCAGACAAAAGTTCTTTGTCCCACCCTGGTCATTCCACAGATATATAAACCCATTTTCCTAATTCCAACAGACCTCACTACCTCTGAGGATGCTTGCCATAGATGCAGGTGAAACGTCAGGAGAGAATGCCTCTAGAACATGGCCATATAGCCCAAAAAACCTACAACAAGCCACTAATTAAGGTGGTCAGTTGAAACATTCACCCCCTAGCTCCAGCAGACAAGAGTCCTTTGTCCCACCCTGGTCATTCCACAGATATATAAACCCTTTTTCCTAATTCCAACAGACCTCACTACCTCTGAGGATGCTTGCCATAGATGCAGGTGAAACGTCAGGAGAATGCCTCTAGAACATGGCCATATAGCCCAAAAAAACCCTGTTGAAATTGTGGTCAGTTGAAACATTCACACCTAGCTCCAGCAGACAAGAGTCCTTTGTCCCACCCTAGTCATTCCACAGATATATAAACCCTTTTTCCTAGTTCCAACAGACCTCACTACCTCTGAGGATGCTTGCCATAGATGCAGGCGAAACGTCAGGAGAGAATGCCTCTAGAACATGGCCATATAGCCCAGAAAAACCTACAACAACCCAAACTCTTAAGAGTTGGAAAGGACCCCCAGGGCCATCTAGTCTGATCCTCTTCTGCCAGGCAGGAGGTCACCACCCAAGCTCTTTTGATGGGTGACCTTTCCTGGGAGCTTGACCTTGGTCCCAAGAATAGTCTATATTTCCAAGTGGTCAAGCACATGGTCTCTTTCGTGGCATCTGATTGGACATGCCAATGGGCAGGAAAGGCCCTTTTGAAACAGAAGCATTGACCCAGTCTGTTGGAACTGTTCTGCTCTCGGGGGTTTGACCCCAGGCTTTGGCCACCCAACCTGAGCAATGTTCCTCTATCAGGGCAAGGCAGGTGTGTTTGTATTGGGAGGGGCCACATTCGGGAGGGGGGGGGCACCAGCCTCTCTCTCTCTCAAGGCTGGGGAAGGTGCTGGTAGAGTGGATGCGTCTGGCTCCTTCTGCACTGACCTCTCTCTCTTCCGCAGGTGTATCTTGAACCCAGGACCTCGAAGCTGGTGCCGGTCACTCTCTTGACCTGAGGACGGGGGTCACGCTGCTGCTGGAGATGGGCCTCCAAGGCCGGCACTGGACCCATGGAGACAACAATGAAGTGATGTCCACCTTGGACTGCCTTGTGGGCTCCGTCTGACCTGCCTTTGGAGTCCAACCTGTGACAAGGACCTCTGAGCCAATGGAGCAGAAAGGGGGCCGTTTGTGGCCCTGAAGAGTGACCGCCCGCCTCGGGGCCAAAGTGGAGGACCAAGCAGAGGGCCCTCCTCCCCTGGGGCCCCTTGGGTGGTCTCCTTCAACTGCTGCCCCTCTCCGGCTCCTCGGGGCCCCGATCCGCCTGGCTCTGGACGGCAGAGGAGGAGGGGGGTGCCGGGAGCGCGGTCCGGAGCCTGAGGAGGCGGCCCCTTTCCCCACGGATGCAGAGGTGGCCCTCTGCCCGGGGTCTCCGCCAAGGATGCCCGCTGCCCCTCGGCCGGCTGCCCTGCGGTGATGGCGCCCCACGGCTCCTCCCCCCGGGCCCCGCTCTGCTTCCTGCTGCTGCTGCTGCTGCTCCCGCTGCTGCTCCTGGGGGCCTCGCTCTGGGGCCTGGGCCTCTCCATGCACCTGGAGCCCGGGGAGCCGGGGGGCGGCGGGGGCCCCGGAAGCAGCGGGCGCGTCAAGCGGGGCTGGGTCTGGAACCAGTTCTTCGTGGTGGAGGAGTACACTGGGACGGAGCCTCTGTACGTGGGGAAGGTAACGTCTGGCGGGGGAATTTGGGGGGGGGGGGTTGGGGGGGGAAGGGGATGCTGCGGAGCGGGGGGGACGGGACACCTGGCCCCCAATGTTGGAAAATGTCAAAGATAGAAGAATAGATTCACAGTTGGAAGAGACCCCCAGGGGCCATCTAGTCTGGGTTTGAGCCTGCCACTTTTGGACTCCTGATTGCTGGGGTGTTCCTGCAAGTATCTCTGTAGATCTTAGAAAACTATTTCTTGATTTAAGTCGTTGACGTGCTGGCTGATACCCAAACAAGGGATGGGCTGGAGATGTCTCACCAAAACTACCATCATCACCACCACCACCACCACTACCATTATCACCAACACCACCATTATCTTCATCACCACCAGCAACATCACTACCACCACCATCACCACCACCACCACCATCATAATCACCACCACAAACATTATCATCACCACCGCCATCATCATCACTACCATCACTAACACCATCATCACCACCACGATCATTATCATCACCACCATCATCGTCATCACCTCCATCATCACCACCACCACTACTAGCATCAGCACCACCATCATCATCACCACCACCACCATCATTATCATCACCACCATCATCAGCATCATCTCCACCACCACTGTGTCCTTTCTTCCTTCCTTCACTATTGGCTGCTACTTCCCGGTGGATGTCAGGTGGTGCAATACCGGCTAAGCAGTGTAATTTCTCCAATGGTGTAGGGCACAGACACCTCGTGATAATGCAGCATGTCTCATTCAGAGCCACATCTACTGTTTTAGCGTGATGTGTTCCGCACTGGGCATGCGTACTCAGCAGCAGAGTAGGGCAGATGTCTTCACTGTGTCTGGTTGTGATCCCCAGGTTGTGCCAGTCAGCTTTCGTATGATATTGTTTCTAGCACCCACTTTTTGCTTGATATTCAGGCAGTGCTTCTTGTAGGTCAGAGCACGGTGACTCCCAGGTGACTCCCAGGTATTTGGGTGCGCTGCAATGCTCCAATGAGACTCCTTCCTTCCCAGGTAATCCTCAGAGCTCGGGATGCTTGTCTGTTCTTGAGATGAAAAGCACATGTCTGTGTTTTAGATGGATTAGGGATCAGCTGGTTTTCCCTGTAATAGGCAGTAAGGGCACCTAGAGCTTCGGAGATCTTTTCGACCATCTCAAAGCTCCCTGCTTGAGCGGTGATGGCACGGTCATCAGCGTAGATGAAACTCTCTGTCCCTTCTGGCAGTGAATGGTCATTTGTGTAGATGTTGAACATGGATGGAGCAAGCACGCTTCCCTGAGGCAGGCCGTTCTTCTGTTTCCGCCATCTGCTTCTCTGGCCCTGGAACTCAACAAAAAAGCTCCTGTTTTGTAGCAGGTTTCCTATGAGGCGGGTGAGGTGGTCGTCCTTTGTGATATTAGACATGTTTCTCAGGAGGAGGCAGCGGTGGTTCACAGTATCATACGCCGCTGAGAGGTCTATGAAGACAGCTCCTGTGATCTGCTGCCTTTCAAAGCCATCGTCTATGTGCTGAGTCAGGTTCAGCACTTGCGATGTAGAAATGGTGTAAATAATAATAATATAAATCAGGGTTCTAGGTTGCAAAATGACCCAACTGTCCTCAATGGGGCTGAATCTGGAGGGACAGAACTGCATCTCTAGTGGAGGAAATTGCCAAAGTTCTCTTTATTGCCATCGTTTTGAAGGAATGTTGCAGACCAGGTGGGGCGGCCAAGGAGGTGATGCGCAAACACGGTCCTTCTCTCCAGAAAGGTCAGCAAAGACCAAGTTGGCTTGACCTCCTCAATCCCAGGGACAATATTAGAGCAGGTTAGACAGGAATCTGTTTGCAAACATCTCGACGACAAGGCCGGGATAAGCAGGAGCCCCGAGCCAATCCTGCCAGGCCCACTTGATACCTTTCCTTCCTTTCCTCGATGGCAGTGAAGCCGCCACGGATGTTATTTGTTTGGATTTCAGCAAAGCCTCTGATAAAGTCCCCCACAATGCGCTGATGGCGGAATATGGAGTGGCTGGAAATGGCATCAGATGGAGGCAGAGCCGGCGGTGCTCAGATCCGTAGCAAATTTGCAGATGGCGCAAACATTGGAAGACGGGGACGGAATTCCAAAGGAGTTGAGCAAACGAGGAAAAGGAATTCAGAGGAGACAAAGGCAAAGCTCCGTCTTTAGGGCACGAAAACATGGATGCGCAGGGGCATGGTGCGGGATTCTTGGCTTGGTGGCTCGGGATTATCGCTGATGATCCATCAACCATTGGGCAGCCCCATGGCGGAACAGCAAGAAAGGCCAATGCTGCCTTCGCCTGCGTTAATGTCCAACTCTGGGCACCACAGTTGAAGAGAGATATTGACAAGCTGGAATGTCTCCAGAGAGATATTCCGCCTTGGTTAGACCACATCTGGAATCACATTGAGTCCAATTCTGGGCACCACAATTGAAGGGAGATGTTGACTCTTAAGCTGGAATGTGTCCAGAGGAAGACAGCCATGGATTGAGGTGCTGGATTTGAGCCTGCCACTTTTGGACTCTCGCTTGCTGAGGTGTTCCAGCAAGTGTCTCTGTTGACTCTAAGCTGGAATGTGTCCAGAGGAAGACAGCCATGGATTGAGGTGCTGGATTTGAGCCTGCCACTTTTGGACTCTCGCTTGCTGAGGTGTTCCAGCAAGTGTCTCTGTTGACTCTAAGCTGGAATGTGTCCAGAGGAAGACAGCCATGGATTGAGGTGCTGGATTTGAGCCTGCCACTTTTGGACTCTCGCTTGCTGAGGTGTTCCAGCAAGTGTCTCTGTTGACTCTAAGCTGGAACGTGTCCAGAGGAAGACAGCCATGGATTGAGGTGCTGGATTTGAGCCTGCCACTTTTGGACCCTCGCTTGCTGAGGTGTTCCAGCAAGTGTCTCTGTTGACTCTAAGCTGGAATGTGTCCAGAGGAAGACAGCCATGGATTGAGGTGCTGGATTTGAGCCTGCCACTTTTGGACTCTCGCTTGCTGAGGTGTTCCAGCAAGTGTCTCTGTTGACTCTAAGCTGGAATGTGTCCAGAGGAAGACAGCCATGGATTGAGGTGCTGGATTTGAGCCTGCCACTTTTGGACTCTCGCTTGCTGAGGTGTTCCAGCAAGTGTCTCTGTTGACTCTAAGCTGGAATGTGTCCAGAGGAAGACAGCCATGGATTGAGGTGCTGGATTTGAGCCTGCCACTTTTGGACTCTCGCTTGCTGAGGTGTTCCAGCAAGTGTCTCTGTTGACTCTAAGCTGGAACGTGTCCAGAGGAAGACAGCCATGGATTGAGGTGCTGGATTTGAGCCTGCCACTTTTGGACTCTCGCTTGCTGAGGTGTTCCAGCGAGTGTCTCTGTATATCTTAGAAAACTGTTTCTTGTCCAGAGGAAGACAGCCATGGATTGAGGTGCTGGATTTGAGCCTGCCACTTTTGGACTCTCGCTTGCTGAGGTGTTCCAGCAAGTGTCTCTGTTGACTCTAAGCTGGAATGTGTCCAGAGGAAGACAGCCATGGATTGAGGTGCTGGATTTGAGCCTGCCACTTTTGGACCCTCGCTTGCTGAGGTGTTCCAGCAAGTGTCTCTGTTGACTCTAAGCTGGAATGTGTCCAGAGGAAGACAGCCATGGATTGAGGTGCTGGATTTGAGCCTGCCACTTTTGGACTCTCGCTTGCTGAGGTGTTCCAGCAAGTGTCTCTGTTGACTCTAAGCTGGAATGTGTCCAGAGGAAGACAGCCATGGATTGAGGTGCTGGATTTGAGCCTGCCACTTTTGGACCCTCGCTTGCTGAGGTGTTCCAGCAAGTGTCTCTGTTGACTCTAAGCTGGAATGTGTCCAGAGGAAGACAGCCATGGATTGAGGTGCTGGATTTGAGCCTGCCACTTTTGGACTCTCGCTTGCTGAGGTGTTCCAGCAAGTGTCTCTGTTGACTCTAAGCTGGAATGTGTCCAGAGGAAGACAGCCATGGATTGAGGTGCTGGATTTGAGCCTGCCACTTTTGGACCCTCGCTTGCTGAGGTGTTCCAGCAAGTGTCTCTGTTGACTCTAAGCTGGAATGTGTCCAGAGGAAGACAGCCATGGATTGAGGTGCTGGATTTGAGCCTGCCACTTTTGGACTCTCGCTTGCTGAGGTGTTCCAGCAAGTGTCTCTGTTGACTCTAAGCTGGAATGTGTCCAGAGGAAGACAGCCATGGATTGAGGTGCTGGATTTGAGCCTGCCACTTTTGGACTCTCGCTTGCTGAGGTGTTCCAGCAAGTGTCTCTGTTGACTCTAAGCTGGAATGTGTCCAGAGGAAGACAGCCATGGATTGAGGTGCTGGATTTGAGCCTGCCACTTTTGGACCCTCGCTTGCTGAGGTGTTCCAGCAAGTGTCTCTGTTGACTCTAAGCTGGAATGTGTCCAGAGGAAGACAGCCATGGATTGAGGTGCTGGATTTGAGCCTGCCACTTTTGGACTCTCGCTTGCTGAGGTGTTCCAGCAAGTGTCTCTGTTGACTCTAAGCTGGAATGTGTCCAGAGGAAGACAGCCATGGATTGAGGTGCTGGATTTGAGCCTGCCACTTTTGGACTCTCGCTTGCTGAGGTGTTCCAGCAAGTGTCTCTGTTGACTCTAAGCTGGAATGTGTCCAGAGGAAGACAGCCATGGATTGAGGTGCTGGATTTGAGCCTGCCACTTTTGGACTCTCGCTTGCTGAGGTGTTCCAGCAAGTGTCTCTGTTGACTCTAAGCTGGAATGTGTCCAGAGGAAGACAGCCATGGATTGAGGTTCTGGGTTTGAGCCTGCCACCTTTGGACTCTCGCTTGCTGAGGTGTTCCAGCAAGTGTCTCTGTAGATCTTAGAAAACTATTTCTTGATTTAAGTCGTTGACGTGCTGGCTGATAACCAAACAGAGGATGAGCTGGAGATGTCTCTGCCTTAGTCCTTTCACTATTGGGCTGCTTACTTCCCGGCGGATGTCAGGTGGAGACATGATGGCCATGTATA